ACTCTGCTGGGGTTGCTAGGAAACGGATGGAACTCTGCTGGGGTTGCTAGGAAACAGATGGAACTCTGCTGGGGTTGCTAGGAAACGGATGGAACTCTGCTGGGGTTGCTAGGAAACGGATGGGACTCTGCTGGGGTTGCTAGGAAACGGATGGAACTCTGCTGGGGTTGCTAGGAAACAGATGGGACTCTGCTGGGGTTGCTAGGTAGCGGGTGGAACTCTGCTGGGGTTGCTAGGTAACACCACAGCGCCTGCTGATTTATGTTCTTACATTATGTAGGTGTTTTTAAAGGGTTCAAACATCTGGGTGTTTTTTTAAGTAGTTTGGTTGTTTTTAGAAGCTGTAGAAAACCAAGTGAAGGTATAAAAACATGCAAAATGTGACTGTTGCATAACAGATCCCTTTGAAGGTTTAATTCTGGGTTCTTCTTGCACACTGTCATAGGGCCTAACCAGAGGAAGGCCGGACGGCGGTTCGGTTCAGTCCGGTACCTTGAGGTCGGACACCTCAGTGTAGCATTGCTCAGAGCGAGTGTGATCCGACAGCTGGACGTTCCAGAAGCAGGGCAGCTGGTGCACCAGGACCGGGTTCTGCTTGATGAAGGCGTTGAAGATGTCCTACACACACACACACACACACACACACACACACACACACACACACACACACACACACACACACACACGCGCGGTGTCAGCCACATGCTCCTGCTGACAGAGCAGAACCGGCTGATGGACCGTTCTGAGTCATCGCTGCTTTACAGAGAAACTAATTCTGATAAAGACATCTAGAAGAGAAACCAGTCCTTCACATCTTTGGAGAAAGTGCCAGAAAAGAGTCAAAGGTCATGTTTTCCTTCCTCAGCTGCCAGTTAGAATACTCTGATTCGGAGGTCATCTCACCTGGTCCGCCAGCGACGTACTGAGCATGCTCATCAGCTCCCGCTCTGCCGTCAGGCGCCACATCTGTTCCCAGCTGATTCTCCGGAGCCGCTCCAGGTAGAGCAGGATGACGCCTGCAGCGGCAGCAGAAGGAGGAAGTGAAACCAGGAGGACCGCTAAAACGTACAGGAAACTAAACCGCTGCCTACCCGTGTTGAAGCCCCGCCCCAGCGCTGGCCACGGCTTGTGGTTCTTCCACAGGTTGCCCAGGTACCAGTCGCTCTGGTTCTCCACCAGACCGATCACCTGCTTGTCTGGAAACAGAAGAAAAACTTCTTCTTAAACTCTTCTGTTTCAAAACCCAGCCTGAGGGAATTTACAGGATCCCTCACTGGGAAAACAAAAACCTTAACAAGTAATTTTGCTCTAGTTTCTAGTGCAAATATTTTAAGTACACTTGAAATAACTTAAAAGTAAATTTTCAGTAAGATTTGCTTTTTATTTGCTTAAATTTGTTTTAAGCAAATAATTCCTTAAGATTGCTAAAAAAGTTCTATTTCACTGGCAGATTATCTCACTTGTAACATTTTTCCATGTTATAAGTTAATCTATGCGCTATCAAAACACAAATAAACGGAAAACAAGCCTATATCCTGCTGAAAAGTTACTTTTAAGTTATTTTGTCTTATTTCAAGTGTACCAAGATATCTGATCTAGAAATTAGACCAAATGATTTGGTAAGATTTTGTTTTTTTGCAGTGTATCTGAATGTTGATGTATGCATTTATAAGCAATGTTTTACACTTACAAGTCTTGTGAATGTTTTTGACACTAATTTAGCTCCATATAAACCTGTCTTTTTATGCAGATTGTGAACTTTCTGAGCAGAAGGGAGCAGGTTTTTATTCGTTCTCACCAGTGAACTTCTTGAAGATGCCCCACAGCTCGGCGATGTCGGTGGCGAAGGTGATGTCCGTATCCAGGACGATGACCTTCGCCAGGTCGGGCGGTAAAGCTTTGGTTAGCGTCAGCTTCATCAAGCCGTAAATACCTGAGTAATGCTTGTTGGGGATCCAGGAGACTTCGGACTGAAACGGCAAGCAGACGGAGATCATCTCTGCTCTGATTGGTCGGTTCGCACAAAGACACTTTCAGCAGTTTTCTAAACATCAATCTGTAAACAGTGTCCTTTAATTAATTCTCTCAATTCAGAGTAATTGGATCTGCGTAAGTGCATCATCTGCAAACATAATCGGCTTACAGTCGCCACCGTTTTCCTCCACTTAATGGAGAGTGAGGAGTGGCTGCAGGTCGGCACGGCGACGGCACAAAGAGCCGATTGTTGGGCGCGGCGGCGGCGCGGGAGGAGAACGTGAAGCACAAACACTGATTCATGCCTGATCCTCTTTATTCCACTCAGACCGCATCCATCAGCATCAAACTGAGTGTTTACTGGTCAGCCTCTTTCTGACGGCTTTAAGTGTCCAACTCAGCTACACTGTAAAAACACAACATGTTACAACGCATTCTGATCTGTTTCTAAAGCAAACGTCCTGGACAGATGGGTCACTGTAACACAGTGAGATGGACGATAAACTGCCCCAGAAGTTATTGTGATAAACTATGATAATAATGGCCTGGGACACATTTTCAGAGATCATTACACTTTAAACTCTAGTATGTTTAAAACTGGAAGAGATTTAAAATGTCCAAAATAAACAAACAAAACAATAAAAATAAATAAAATCAATTATGAAGTCTCTGCAAACAAAACAGTTGTTCATAAAAAGGCCAAAGCAGCAGAATGACGACTTCATCATCCAGTTTGGTAGAAAAACAGAGAAAAATCAATGAACTCATTTTAATTTATCATGTGATTTAATTGATTTGTTGCCTATTGCAAATACTGAGATAAGACAAAACTAACTTAGAAGTAACTGATCAGCAAGAATTATTTTAAGTTAATAATTCCTTAATATTAATGAAAACGTAACAGTTCCTCTGGCAGATTATTTAACTTATGACAAGATATTTACCCTTGTTATAAAAGACACAATCTGCCAGTGGCACAAGAACTTTTTAAAGTCAATATTAAGTAATTATCAAGCTCCTGTTTCTTGCTGAAATGTCACTTGTAAATTAGTTTATCTTATTTCATATGTACCAAGACATTTGGACCAGAAACTAGACCAAATTACTTTGTAAAATTTGTGTTTTTACAGTGTAAATTCTCTTTGTGGCAAATTAAAAACTCGCCTCAACATCAGAACATTTATATTATATTGTGTATCCAAACTTTACAAATTCAAATCCACAAAACTAGAAGCAGAAGATTTTAATCTCATGTACAAACAACTGAAACTGATTGAGATCCATTTTACCCTGATCGCCATGGCAACCAGAGACTCACTGATTCCACAAATATGGTCATGTATCCTGTAACCCAGAGCTGAGGCTAAACCTGAATCCGGCGGTAAAACAGGAAAATGCTGCGCCTGATATGACACGATACGATGTGGCATCTCACCTTGAGCTCCTCAGCGTCGTAGAAGCTGACTTGAACGGACGGAACCATCCAGGACCGGAACAGGGAGCCGAGGATCCGACTGGCCACCGAGTCGGTGATGAAATGGAAGTGGAGAGGATTCCTCCTGGAACCAAACGAGAGGAAGCAAGAGGCGAGAATGAGAAAGGAACACATCCATCCACCCACCCATCCATCCACCCACAGAACCAATACGGAGGGCTGTCCTGTCAGACCGTCAGTTCCCAAAACCAAACACACAAACCCACTGTATAAGCGCACGCTGGAGCACTGTGATTCTGCCAGCCCCCGCATAGAGTAAAACAAACTTGTGGCGTCCAAATGACCCAATCTCTTAAGACCACAGGAGGGTTGATCTCCATGGCAACCATTCATCTGTGCAAAACAGGCCGGTTCCGGACCGGTTCGGTTCTACAGACTCACCTGTGAAAGAGGACGGACTTGACCAGAGTGACCACGTCTCTGCTGGCGTTGTGACCGGCACAAACACACGCTACATGGATCAGCTGCAGGGATACAGAACCACACTGGTTAAAAATGGTGTCAAAACATTTTATCGTTTATCACAATCATTTCTGGACGATTTATCGTAAACATTCGTCATGGCGACCGTTATCTGTGACGAGACAGAAACACTTCCTGACCTCACACTTCTGGACCAGCGGCGATCGGGAGCAGTCTGTGTGGTTGCTCTTCTCCTCCGCCGTGTTGTCGCCGTCCTCCGGCACCGTGTCCGCCGACGCGCCCCACTGCTGGTTGCCGTAGTTACCGTCAGAGAGCTGGGCGGCGCCCTGCGACTGGCTGAGCTGCAGCTTGATCTGCCGGTTCTCCTCCTCCACCTCTCGGACCCGGGACTCCAGGACGGCTCGCTCCAGAACCTGTGCGGCGGGCGTGTCGGGCAAGCAGGGCGCCAAGAGGAGGGAGCGGCCATCTTAGGAGGAACGACACGGCAACCGGCGTTAGCTTAAACTCTTGAGATAATTTACCAGCTGTGATAAAAATGTTTAAAAAACTGGACTTCTGTTACCAACATGGTTTAAAATCTACTGAAAACAACTTTTTCCTAACAGACTAGAGTTGAATATGAAGCATAAAATGCTTCTTTTTGTCTGATTGTATTCTGCAGCCAAACATCAGAACCAGAATCCGTGAAGCTGAACTTTGGGCTTCCAATCATCACGTCTCCATCAGAGTCGCCGCCGCCATTGTTGTTTTCTCATCTGCGACACAAACAGACTGAGAATCTGTGAGCTAAACCTTCTCTAGAGTCTCACACTTCAAAATTGGCTCATCGCACTTCCTCCTCCTCTTCCTCCCCAGGAGGCTCGCTTCGGTCTGAAACGTTGGCGGGTCTTTGCTAAGAAAGAAAATCCTCCAAAACTGAAGGAACATTAAGGTTGGACAACCTGCAGTTCACCCTAAACACACACAAACGATGGAGATGAGACGTAACTGGTGTTAAAAAGAACTGGACTGATGTCGTCTTCTTCTCTTTGGGTTTTTCTCTCGGTTCTGTCCCCAAACCAAACAACATTATCGCTGTAGCGTCTTTCCTTTCAGTGAAGCTCTTTTCTCTTACTGTCTGTCAGCAGAAGGTCTAAAGAATGGCGAGACGGACTGAAATCTCTGAGAAAAGCATTAAATGCTACATTTAGACCCTCAGTCAACATGAATGTTAAACTGTAATAATCTTACCAGTTTTTAACACTAATTCAGATTAAAAAAATCTAACATATGATCTGAACTTGAGAGAAAAGGTCTGGTGGACGATTCAAAACAACCAAGTCTTACCAGGATTAGGGAAGCGAAGGGTTAAATGTTCAAAGGAACTGAAGCAATTGACTGATTCAGACCAAAAATCAAACTCTGGGTTCGGTTGAAGTGAACTCTGCAGATCGCTCCAAAAGCAGGAAGTGGAATACAGCGCAGGGCATTCTGGGTAAATACAACCAAAATAAACGCACCTGTCTAACTCTAAGAGGGGAAACGGCTCGTGACGTTTTACCAACGACAAAATAGAAACAGCTGAAGATGGGAAGCTAGTTTTCTTTGTACTTCTTGAAGACAGAAGTTGAGATCCGTCTTCTTCTTAAGTTTTCATGTCAGTGGTTCTTGGAGCAGCGCCCCCACAGGCCAGGCGGGGAACAGGCTGCTGAAAGGGTTCGGTTGGTTTGACTCAGAGCAGAGAGAAAGAGAACCACAGCATGATTGACAGCACTAAGACCCTCCTCTTGGCTCCGTTTCTGGCTGTAGCAAAACGCAGAGGAAATTGATTTTTTTCACAGATTATGTCTCACTATGCTGTCAAAATAGTTTTAACTGTGAAAAGCATGAACTTTAATAAAAGTTACTTACTGCAGCTGTAAAGCTCTGCCCTTTGAGGTAGTTTCCACATTATCTCACAGAGGCTTTCTGGGGAAAATGTTCCTTTAATCTGGATTTTAATTGATTTTACAACTATTTTTCTGCCTTTCAGCAGAAGAAGACTCATTTTCCTCCTCTGCTCTACATTTAAACTGCTAACAGCTGAGTTTAGTCATGGAGAATAATCAGGTCATTTCTGACCTTTGAGAGAAAACTCAAAGATATCCAGAATCTGGACGATTCTGAACTGCGTGTCTGTTAGGAGTCAGATCTAATTCACTTTGGCTGTTTTTCTGCCAAAAGGACAGAAATGCAAATTGGTGGCCTGAACACTGGGATCCGACTGGAGCGGCTCAGAAATGGAAATGTATGCAGCATCTGCCAACGCTGCGTCCTCTCCTGTTTGTCCGCTTAGCGCCGCTCAGTGTATCGCTCTGCATGATGCTGACGCATCAGTTTGTTTCCTCTCGCATATGAAATGTAATCATAATAACCGACGGCAGCGCTCAGAACAAGGTGTTAATCACGGCGTTCCAGGTAATAGTCACATCCCGTAAAACAGCATCAGCCCACGGAGAACAGAAAACATGAAAAACTCCCGTTTCCTGGTGAGACTTAACTCTGGCAGCGGCTCAGTGCGACACGCACACACACACACACACACACACTCACGCAGGCACACACACCTACAGCCTGCTTCCAAACATCACTTTGTTCCAGCAGCAGAAACACTCAGAACAACAAACAGCAGCTGAAAATATTCCCACAGAAATGATCCTCAGATTAAACCGGATTAAACACAAGATCCAGTTTTTATGCTGAAAATATTTTTACAACATTGATTATTTTTCAGTCAAATTTTAAGTAAAAATAATGATGAATTTATGGCAGATGGAT